GAGTGTTTTATACTGAAGTTTAGAGTTACAGTCGTAGGCTGGATTACCTACAGATGTATGTGTTCTAGGACTAATAGGTTGATCGATTGATCATTTCTGTGTATCAAGGAACATTTATACTGATATATGTTATTGCATTCACATGCTGACTTTCCTTGTACACGTTTATATATATATATATATATATATATATATATATATATATATATATATATATATATATATATATATATATATATATATATATATATATATATATATATATTGGTGTATACTGGCAGCAGGTTTTCTTTCAAACATGTTTCATTGAATATGACCGCATATTCTGTATTTATTATTTTCTGGTTTAGGGCTTCTATCCCTCTAACTATTTTCTTAGCATTAGGGCTTAATTGAAATAGGAGTTCTCCAAAACTCATTTTCGTACTTTTAAGGTGAAGAAAAGAAGTGATTTACTATAGAGTGTAGTAATACACTCTATAGTAAAATACAATACAAATAAGTGTAATACACTCTATAGTAAATCACTTCTTTTCTTCACCTTAAAAGTACGAAAATGAGTTTTGGAGAACTCCTATTTCAATTAAGCCCTGATGCTAAGAAAATAGTTAGAGGGATAGAAGCCCTAAACCAGAAAAAAATAAATACAGAATATGCGGTCATATTCAATGAAACATATATATATATATATATATATATATATATATATATATATATATATATATTCTCTTGTTGATAGTGCAACAGTGTATGTAGACTTGATCTACTTGAGGAGGTTGATAGTGTCAGGTGGTGAATCAGGAGATAGTACACCACTTGATGAGCCGATGATAGAGTCCTGATGGTGTTGGAGTGCAACCTGATTGTAATAGTATAGAGTATAGGATTCATTACTATTATATGTGTGTATGTATTGTGTATGTGCTTTGTCCAGTATATGTATTCCAATTTGCTGGTGTTTGCCCTTGTCCTAGTGAGGCTTCCCAGGAAATAGTAAAGAAAGAGAGAGAGAGAGAAAGAACCAAGAACCACCGCTGTGGACAGGGTAGGATGGAAAATTAGTAAGTCAAAGGGGATTGAGATCATATCACATAAGGAGGGAGTGGGGAGTCACAGCGGCTCGAGTGGGTGTGTGCACGTGACAACGAGGCTGAGTGTTGGAGCCGCATCCCCTAAACGTGTGACGTTGAACCCCTCTCCAAGAGCCAGATGCGCCTAGTGTAATCTCCTAGTGAAGTAAAAGCACTCTGCCGAGTTGTGGGTTGGGTTGTCCGTAAAGGAGGAACACACAAGGATCAACACCACCAACCCACACTATAATACTTCACCTTGCTGGTTCCGATTCTTCGACCCTGCTGGTTGTTACGTCCACCTGCAGGTGCTGTTCCTTCTTACCAGAGACGATGTTGCTTCCACCCTGCAGGTGCTATTTCTCCCTCCTTGCTGGCGTTGTTGCATTCCCCCGACAGGTGTTGTTGATTTCACCAGCTGGTGAAGTTGCTTCCATCTGCAGTTGCTTTTGCTTCCTCCCTGTAGGTGCTGTTACTTCATCCCTGCATATGCTAATGCTTCTGCTCAGCAGGTGGTATTGCTTCCACATGTAAGGGCTGTTGCATCCACCCTGCAGTTGCTGTTGCTTCCATACTTCAGGGGCTGCTGCTTCGACCCTGCTGATGCTGTTGCTTCCACCTGCTGATGCTGTTGCTTCCACCTGCTGATGCTGTTGCTTCCACCTGCTGATGCTGTTGCTTCCACCTGCTGATGCTGTTGCTTCCACCTGCTGATGCTGTTGCTTCCACCTGCTGATGCTGTTGCTTCCACCTGCTGATGCTGTTGCTTCCACCTGCTGATGCTGTTGCTTCCACCTGCTGATGCTGTTGCTTCCACCTGCTGATGCTGTTGCTTCCACCTGCTGATGCTGTTGCTTCCACCTGCTGATGCTGTTGCTTCCACCTGCTGATGCTGTTGCTTCCACCTGCTGATGCTGTTGCTTCCACCTGCTGATGCTGTTGCTTCCACCTGCTGATGCTGTTGCTTCCACCGGCAGGTGCTGTCGCCTCCACTCTGTTGAAGCTATTGCCTCCATCAGCAGGAGCAGTTGATTCCACCTACAGGTGCTGTTGTTTACATCCTGCACTGGCTGCTACTTCCACCCTGCTGGTGCTTTTGCTTCCACCCTGCTGGTTGTTGCTTCCATCTGCAGGTTGTTGCGTCCACCGTGTAGGTGCTGTTGCTTCCTGCTGGAGATGCTGTTGCTTCCACCTTCAGTTGCTGTTGCTTGCACCCTACAGGTGCTGCTATTTCCACCTTCTGGTGTTGTTATTTCCACCCTGCGGGTTCTGTTGCTTCCAACTTGCAGGTGCTGTTGCTGCCACCTGCAGGTGCTGTTGCTGCCACCTGCAGGTGCTGTTGCTTCCATCTGCAGGTGCTGTTGCTTCCACGTGCAAGTGCTGTTGCTTCCAAAACGCTTGTGCTGCTGCTTCCACCTGCATGTGTTGTTCCTTATACCCTGCTGGAGCTGTTGCTTCAACCTGAAGGTGCTGTTCCTGCCACCTTCAAGTGCCGTATCTTTCATCCTGCAGGTGCTATTGCATTCAACCTGCTGGTACTGTTTCTTCCATCTTGCAAGTGCTGTTGATTCCATACTGCAGGTCCTGTTGCTTCCACCCTGCTGGTTATTGCTTCCACGTGCGGGTGCTGTTACTTCCACTTATAAGTGCTGTTGCTTCAACTTTCAGGTGATGTTGCTTCCACCTTGCAAGTGCTGAGGCTTCCACCCTCCTGGTGCTGTTTGCTTCCATCCTACAGGTGCTGTGGCTTCCACCTTGCTGGTACTATTGCTTCCACCTGTAGGTGCTGTTGTTTTCACCCTACAGGTGCTGATTCCTTCAAATGCAGGTGCTGTTTCTATAATTTGCAGGTGCTAATAATTTGCTTCAACATGCTGATGCTGATGCTTTCACATACAGGTTTTGTGGCTCCCACCTGCAGGTCCCAGCCTGCCTGTGTGGTGGGTCCCAGCCTGCCTGTGTGGTGGGTCCCAGCCTGCCTGTGTGGTGGGTCCCAGCCTGCCTGTGTGGTGGGTCCCAGCCTGCCTGTGTGGTGGGTCCCAGCCTGCCTGTGTGGTGGGTCCCAGCCTGCCTGTGTGGTGGGTCCCAGCCTGCCTGTGTGGTGGGTCCCAGCCTGCCTGTGTGGTGGGTCCCAGCCTGCCTGTGTGGTGGGTCCCAGCCTGCCTGTGTGGTGGGTCCCAGCCTGCCTGTGTGGTGGGTCCCAGCCTGCCTGTGTGGTGGGTCCCAGCCTGCCTGTGTGGTGGGTCCCAGCCTGCCTGTGTGGTGGGTCCCAGCCTGCCTGTGTGGTGGGTCCCAGCCTGCCTGTGTGGTGGGTCCCAACCTGCCTGTGTGGTGGGTCCCAGCCTGCCTGTGTGGTGGGTCCCAACCTGCCTGTGTGGTGGGGCCCAACCTGCCTGTGTGGTGGGTCCCAGCCTGCCTGTGTGGTGGGTCCCAGCCTGCCTGTGTGGTGGGTCTCAGCCTGCCTGTGTGGTGGGTCCCAGCCTGCCTGTGTGGTGGGTCCCAGCCTGCCTGTGTGGTGGGTCCCAGCCTGCCTGTGTGGTGGGTCCCAGCCTGCCTGTGTGGTGGGTCCCAGCCTGCCTGTGTGGTGGGTCCCAGCCTGCCTGTGTGGTGGGTCCCAGCCTGCCTGTGTGGTGGGTCCCAGCCTGCCTGTGTGGTGGGTCCCAGCCTGCCTGTGTGGTGGGTCCCAGCCTGCCTGTGTGGTGGGTCCCAACCTGCCTGTGTGGTGGGTCCCAGCCTGCCTGTGTGGTGGGTCCCAGCCTGCCTGTGTGGTGGGTCCCAACCTAACTAAGCAACACTTTTACACTATGGCAGACTTGGTATAGGTCTGGTATAACGTGGCAGGTATAAAACAAGAACAATTGATATAACAACGACCAGTTTCTGGGCATTGTTGACATTGACCAGTGATTGGGGATTGTTATATACATTTCTCTGATTTTATACCTGACATATTTCCAAGTCTCCCATTTATTTTCTCTGGTGCCATAGTATAGGGACGAGCATGAAATTTGTTTACAAATGTGGCATATAATTAACTGGCGGGAACCAGGCACCCGGGAGGCCTGAAACTACCCGAGTTTTGAAACTTCAGCCAAATCAATATTTATATGAATATATTGTGACGATAATCTCTTTCAAGAGAGATTGAGCCTGCCCTTCCTTACTTAAAGTTACGTCAAATATACAAGTACAAGATGCTACATTCAAGATACGACACCAGTAGCACAAAACGTTTTGACCAGGAGGCAAAACGTACCCAAGATCCCCCCTACTCCACACACCCTCCATGCCGGCTTGTCGTCAACCAGCAAACTACTCATTCCAGCCTGCCTCTTCCTGATTGGTGACTCGCCGACCGCGCACCTGCACACTGCACCTCCGCGCCATCTACTTGAATCGACGTCGGAGCCCTGACCAGCTATTAACTTCAGAATATTCTTTGTGCTCTTAGAGTTGACATCTCTCTCTGGCATACTAAGCTCACTGGCTTGTATACGAAGGGAGGTCTCAGCCATAGCCGATATTCTCAGCACTATTTTACCCTTTCACCTTTATACTATTGTGTCTCACATTGTCTTTGCATTTATCTTTGTTATTTAATTGTATTTTTCATTCCCCCAAGATTTGTCATTATTTTCATTTATGTTTAAAGTAAATATATTAAAGTTTCATTGTTCATACTTTGTGTTTTACGTGTTCCTCCCTCTCACTTACCACAGACAACAGGCAAGCAGTTTATCTTTTTGTTTTATGTGTGACCAGGCAGTGACACCCGCCATTGGAGGACTGCCGAACATCAACACTCCAACACTTTCCCGTCACAATATCGATACATACAAAATTACCTCTATGTCAGCCGATGTCTCACGTCTTGAGATTGTGTTGTATAATAAGTTACAGATGAAAGTAACCGGGTGTGGTGCAACTGACCTGACCCGTGGGTGATGCGGGCAGATCCTGCCGGTGTTAACTTCCGTGTACAGCTGCACAATCGTCTCCGTCGGCAGATGTTTCAAGTGTGTCACCAAGTGCGGGTAGGTAGTGGCGGCCTGGGTGGTGACCCGGCGGGCCAGCCACGTACACAAGTGGGTGAGATGGGTGCGAACCTGGGCGGTGAGGTCCGTGGTGGACGGCCCGGGAGCCACCTCTCTCTCCAAGTCCACCTCCTGCATCCTCGCTGAAATAACAATACATTTTATTGCTATATATTTAGTATATAATAAGATGGTTAGGTCTTCCATTTTACACACTTTTCATATACAAAATTGTTTTGTAATCTTGAAACTACTTAATTATGAAGCTAGTTAACCTTAAAATTCAATGATCCGGGTGATTTGACTCAGTAATCACCTCCTCAGAACTCAACTACCATGGTAACTAGTTAAAGATAATTAAGAGCTGACCTGGGTGACTGTGGGCGTGGTGGTGGCGAGGGCGCGCGTCTAGGAAGGTGAGGGTGAGGCTGGAGGCCAAGGTGGCGGCGTCTGGAAGCGTGAGTGACTGGCTGCACGTCACCTTCTCCAGGACAGGTTCATCACTACCTTGGGTCACGAACTGCTGGCGACACTCCCACACCTGAGGCCAAGTACACCGTCACACACACCGTCACACACACCGTTACATACACACTCACTAACTACTACCGTCAACTTTTATACTCATAAGAAGTCAACACAGTGAATTGTTCTGGATTATATATGTATTATTATGATTAGGTGAAGGAATATTGTCCGGGTAGAAGAGCTCACCGCCTCAGTAGTGAGTGATGACAAGCCCTTGTTGGCCGGTCCGGAGGTGGGGCGACACCGGGCCAGGTCTCTGGTCCGCACCACTTCATACCCGCCCGGCCACACTCCGCCAGTGTCGTACTCCGTCTCGCACTCACCAAACTGATCACTCTGTCAAACATTAGTGCAAATATTAGGACCATGGGGGAGAAAGTAGTGCAAATATTAGGACCATGGGGGAGACAGTAGTGCAAATATTAGGACCATGGGGGAGAAAGTAGTGCCAATATTAGGACCATGGGAGAGACAGTAGTGCCAATATTAGGACCATGGGAGAGACAGTAGTGCCAATATTAGGACCATGGGGGAGACAGTAGTGCCAATATTAGGACCATGGGGGAGACAGTAGTGCCAATATTAGGACCATGGGGGAGACAGTAGTGCCAATATTAGGACCATGGGAGAGACAGTAGTGCCAATATTAGGACCATGGGGGAGACAGTAGTGCCAATATTAGGACCATGGGAGAGACAGTAGTGCCAATATTAGGACCATGGGGGAGACAGTAGTGCCAATATTAGGACCATGGGGGAGACAGTAGTGTCAATATTAGGACCATGGGGGAGACAGTAGTGCCAATATTAGGACCATGGGAGAGACAGTAGTGCCAATATTAGGACCATGGGGGAGAAAGTAGTGCCAATATTAGGACCATGGGGAGACAGTAGTGCCAATATTAGGACCATGGGGGAGAAAGTAGTGCCAATATTAGGACCATGGGGGAGAAAGTAGTGCCAATATTAGGACCATGGGGGAGAAAGTAGTGCCAATATTAGGACCATGGGGGAGAAAGTAGTGCCAATATTAGGACCATGGGGGAGAAAGTAGTGCCAATATTAGGACCATGGGGGAGAAAGTAGTGCCAATATTAGGACCATGGGGGAGACAGTAGTGCCAATATTAGGACCATGGGGGAGAAAGTAGTGCCAATATTAGGACCATGGGGGAGAAAGTAGTGCCAATATTAGGACCATGGGGGAGAAAGTAGTGCCAATATTAGGACCATGGGGGAGAAAGTAGTGCCAATATTAGGACCATGGGGGAGAAAGTAGTGCCAATATTAGGACCATGGGGGAGACAGTAGTGCCAATATTAGGACCATGGGGGAGAAAGTAGTGCCAATATTAGGACCATGGGGGAGAAAGTAGTGCCAATATTAGGACCATGGGGGAGAAAGTAGTGCCAATATTAGGACCATGGGGGAGAAAGTAGTGCCAATATTAGGACCATGGGGGAGAAAGTAGTGCCAATATTAGGACCATGGGGGAGAAAGTAGTGCCAATATTAGGACCATGGGGGAGAAAGTAGTGCCAATATTAGGACCATGGGGGAGACAGTATAAACACATAAAAATACTCACTACTGATGGGATAATTACATTTTATTGATAAATCAAGTTAACAAGCACTCTGGGTTCACAGAACATCACAAAGAATATAATATTCAATACAAAGTACCAAGAATCCTCCATAACACGAGAGCTGGAGAGGGAGGACTGGAAGGGCTTAGTGCAATGATAACCCTTCAAGCATGTGATTAAGGCGTTGAAAGCCAGAAGAGTGTATATAACATTAGGTAGTCAAGGTAACCAAAGTCCAGATGACTTCTTCAGGATAACTACTGCGGCAACATCTTCAGACATTTTAAGAGCACTGCAATCACCTTCAGTGGTTGATTGTTCAATACATCACTGAACAATATATGTAACAGATCTCTCACCCTGTCCGTAGAGGACAGACGGAAATATATATATGCTGGTTATCATTGTAAACATATGGCCACGTCTGTGGTAGGAAATAATTAACAAAAAAAAACATTGTAGTCAAGCAAGTCACTCTCACCTGCAACACTGTAACCAAGCATGTGACTCACCTGCAACACTGTAACCAAGCATGTGACTCACCTGCAACACTGTAACCAAGCATGTGACTCACCTGCAACACTGTAACCAAGCATGTGACTCACCTGCAACACTGTAACCAAGCATGTGACTCACCTGCAACACTGTAACCAAGCATGTGACTCACCTGCAACACTGTAACCAAGCATGTGACTCACCTGCAACACTGTAACCAAGCATGTGACTCACCTGCAACACTGTAACCAAGCATGTGACTCACCTGCAACACTGTAACCAAGCATGTGACTCACCTGCAACACTGTAACCAAGCATGTGACTCACCTGCAACATTGTAACCAAGCATGTGACTCACCTGCAACACTGTAATCAAGCATGTGACTCACCTGCAACATTGTAATCAAGCATGTGACTCACCTGCAACACTGTAATCAAGCATGTGACTCACCTGCAACACTGTAATCAAGCATGTGACTCACCTGCAACATTGTAATCAAGCATGTGACTCACCTGCAACACTGTAACCAAGCATGTGACTCACCTGCAACATTGTAATCAAGCATGTGACTCACCTGCAACATTGTAATCAAGCATGTGACTCACCTGCAACATTGTAATCAAGCATGTGACTCACCTGCAACATTGTAATCAAGCATGTGACTCACCTGCAACACTGTAACCAAGCATGTGACTCACCTGCAACATTGTAACCAAGCATGTGACTCACCTGCAACACCATATACACAACAAACAGTGACGCAGAACAACCTTTGTTGTGTTGCAGTGAATAGAGTAAATTATATCATAACATGAGAACCCACTTGTCTCCAAAGTACGTACTTCAGTGAGTGTGAAGCGCTGGTCGTGTAGCTTAGGATCCATGCTCAGGGCCGCAGACACAATGCTCCGGGCCAGGGAGTGAATGTGGGCAGTGCGCTGGGCACCAGGGTACTGCCCGGCCTCCTGCCCACCACACACTGCTCTTATGCTCCCACCATCCACCACCACCCACGTCTCAACCATCTCTGCTCCGTCCTGGGTCATGGGCACAAGTGGTAAACTATAACTGGGTCATGGGCACAAGTGGTAAACTGTAACTGGGTCATGGGCACAAGTGGTAAACTATAACTGGGTCATGGGCACAAGTGGTAAACTATAACTGGGTCATTAGCACAAGTGGTAAACTATAACTGGGTCATGGGCACAAGTGGTAAACTGTAACTGGGTCATGGGCACAAGTGGTAAACTATAACTGGGTCATGGGCACAAGTGGTAAACTATAACTGGGTCATGGACACAAGTGGTAAACTATAACTGGGTCATGGACACAAGTGGTAAACTATAACTGGGTCATGGGCACAAGTGGTAAACTGTAACTGGGTCATGGGCACAAGTGGTAAACTATAACTGGGTCATGGGCACAAGTGGTAAACTATAACTGTGTAATGGGCACAAGTGGTAAACTATAACTGGGTCATGGGCACAAGTGGTAAACTATAACTGTGTAATGGGCACAAGTGGTAAACTATAACTGGGTCATGGGCACAAGTGGTAAACTATAACTGTGTAATGGGCACAAGTGGTAAACTATAACTGGGTCATGGGCACAAGTGGTAAACTATAACTGTGTAATGGGCACAAGTGGTAAACTATAACTGGGTCATGGACACAAGTGGTAAACTATAACTGGGTCATGGGCACAAGTGGTAAACTATAACTGAGTCATGGACACAAGTGGTAAACTATAACTGGGTCATGGGCACAAGTGGTAAACTATAACTGGGTCATTAGCACAAGTGGTAAACTATAACTGGGTCATGGGCACAAGTGGTAAACTATAACTGGGTCATTAGCACAAGTGGTAAACTATAACTGGGTCATGGGCACAAGTGGTAAACTATAACTGGGCCATGGGCACAGGTTTTTGGAAATTTCCAACACTTAATTACTAAACCCTAGTATGATAGGAGATAATTCTTGTACTAGACATTATAATTTACTAACACTACCAACCAGTAGTATATAGATATTCAAATTATAGATTTGAGGTGTAGAACGCCCCATCCCTTCTAGAAATCATGGCCGAGGTGCTCCGTCAACCACTCGGCAAGAGGGGATAATTTCTACATATTAATGGATCGAATTGAATCCAGTCTCATTTACCTTTTTTAAGGATAATCGATTAGTAATAGATTTACTTTCATTTAATAATATATATGGCTATTAACTGGAAATAATTTATACAGTGTCGATCAGCTGTTCCGATAAATAAAAGGATTAACTTGATTTCCACTCTTAATATACTCGTGCGTTTAACGTCAGCTAAATTAATTGACTCGCACTACGAAATATAATATGCTGTCTTAATTATTATGACGTAAATAGCTGTCAACCACGTATCCATCCATTTGGAACCCTGTTTGAAATATTATAATTTATACCCAGAGTTCCAGCATTGGTGCGAGTGCGCATGTGCCATGGGATGGTAGGAAGAAAGAGGGACAGACTCGCCATGTTAAAAATCTTGTGTTTTGGATGTTCCGGAGCTGCACGAGAGTAATCGATCGAAATAAAGAGCATCCGTACTTTTGGGAGCATCTGATCGAGTGTACAGCCTCCACAATTTACGAACATCACGTTCGGCAGGACAAAGTACCTCAGTTGTATTTAATTTGGCCATTTTATGTACTATATTGTTGGTGTCCTGTCGTTACGTGGCGAGAGATAAAATAACCCCACGTAAGTGCTGATCTTACCCTCTAATTTCTTTAGATTATGCGATTGAATGCACAAATATAGAGTTTGGAGTGGCATGTCACGTGTCATTAGGGACGACTCACTCAGACAAGAATAAACGGGTTAACGCTGCCGGACATTATCTACGTTCATCTCTGGCAGCTAAGCTGTTTATATTATAGTTACATACATACATACATACATACATACATACATACATACATACATACATACATACATACATACATACATACATACATACATACAATGCCTAAAGCCACTATTACGCAAAGCGTTTCAGGCAGGAAAAACACTAAGGCTAAAACTTAATACTAACTTAGATTAAAGTATATATTGTGTTGAGAAAAAAATTGAAAAAGGGGGGGGGGAACATGGCAGAAAAAAGCGAAAATACAATTTGGTCAACAAACAGCATTGTTTAAAATCGTAGACATGGGTTGACATTTAGGGGTGACGTAGGTTACATTGAGTTAATTAGGTGGTACTTAGTTTTTATCTTAAACTGGTTGGGAGAGGTACAGTCTTTTACATAACTGGGAAGGTCATTCCACATTCGAGGTCCCTTGATTTGTAAAGCATTTCTAGTTTGACTAAGTCGTACTCTTGGAATATCAAATAAGTATTTGTTTCTGGTGTGGTGCTCATAGGATCTGTTACAACCTTCTAGGAAGCTTTTAAGGTCAGGATTGACATTACAGTTCAGCGTTTTATATATATAAAATACACATGAGAGGATGTGCAGTGACTTAATATCTAACATATTCAGAGATTTGAGTAAGGGTACCGAGTGATGTCTGGGGCCAGAGTTATATATTGTCCTAATAGCAGCTTTGTGTTGAGTAATTAGAGGACGTAAATGATTTTGGGTAGTAGAACCCCAAGCACAAATACCATAGTTGAGATAAGGATAGATGAGAGAGTAATAGAGTGTCACCAGGGCAGGGCGAGGTACATAATATCTGATCTTAGAAAGAATGCCAACAGTTTTTTAAACTTTTTTTAAACTTTTTTTATATATTTAGAATGTGTCCCTGGCAATTCAGCTTGCGGTCAATGAGAACGCCAAGGAATTTGCCATCTACTTTGTTACAAATTTGGGTATTGTTAATCCTGACATTTATTTGATTTGAGGATTTATTGCCAAACAAAATATAGAAAGTTTTGTCAATATTGAGGGTGAGTTTGTTGGCAGTTAGCCAGTGATGGACTTTATTTAACTCAGTATTCACTGTGACATTTAGAGCAAGGGGGTCAGGACTGGAGTAAATGAAGGTCGTGTCGTCAACAAATAGAATTGGTTTGAGATGTTGGGAGGCATTTGGGAGGTCATTAATGTAGATGAGAAAGAGGAGAGGGCCAAGTATGCTGCCCTGGGGAACACCAGTGTTGATGGGTAGGGTGGGAGAAATTGAATTATTCACAGAAACATATTGGAGCCTGTCAGTAAGGTAAGACTTTAGGTGAGTGTAGGGAGTGACCTCTGACTCCATAATGTTGTAATTTAAGAAGAAGGTTTTAGTGGTTGACAGTGTCAAAAGCCTTACGCAGGTCCACAAATAACCCAATTGGGAACTCATTTTTATAGTTAGCTAATAGATTTGTCTTCTCACTAGAATTTATCCATTTGAATGATTTATTTTATTATCAGAAGTGTATTAACTTCTTATTATCCGAAGTGTATTAGCTTCATATTGTTTACTCCTACAAAGTTGTAGGGCGTACGGAGTTAGTTCTGAATTGGCTTAATATTACAGTTCATTTCTCTAAATATATTTAATCACATTCATGCATTTATTATTGAAGATCCATAAGCCATTGGTTCTCTGATCTTTAACATTACTTTTGGTCCTTCGAAATATTTAATATAATTTCATTGTAGATCTAATTACTTCCCAACACAAGTTGTAAACTATTACTGGGTCATGGGCACAAGTGGTAAACTATAACTGGGACACGGACAGAAGTGGTAAATTACAACTTGGTCATGGGCACCAGTGGTAAGCTTGAAATGGGTCATGGGCACAAGTTGTAAGCTACAACAGCGCCTTGGAAATAAGTGTTAAACTATAACATGAATGATCACAAATTGTAGGTTACAGCTGGGTCATGGATACAGGTGGTAAACTAAGACTGCCTCATGGGCACAAGTGGAAACTATAACTGGGTCATTGGCACAAGTTTTAAGCTACTACTGGGTCATTGGCATAAGTGGTAAACTTCAACTGGGTTATGGGCACAAGTTGTAAACTATAACTGGGCCATGGGCACAAGTTGTAAACAATAACTGGGTCATGAGCACAAGTGGTAAACTATAACTAGGTCATGGGTGTAAGGGTATGGGTCTTCACCAGCTAAATCTTTTACTAGAGTGTGGACTGCACGAGCGCTGCCGTGCACCCATGTACGTAAATGACCGTGCACTTGGTCTAGGTTTGGTAACTTGTACACAAGACATCAAGTGCTTAGACTCGTTGGAGAGCCTAGGCCATCAGTATTCAAAATATGTTGCAATGGCCGTTGCAACACATTTGTGGAAATAGGTATAAAGTGTAGCAGTTTTTATTGTAAGCTTGGGTGAGTTCAGAAGTGTTCAAGGAAGACGGGAAATAGCAGTCACCCAAGCCGTTCCCATGGAAACCAATCCGTCTGCCGTGACGTCACCCCAGCGACCCTACCAAGGGGAAGCCGTGATTGGTTGAGGGCCTTAACCTTAGGTGCGCGCAACTGTAATTGGCTAGCTTGAGGAAGGAGGAGTAGGGCAGCATCTTCCCGCCATGGGCCCATGACGCCATTCTGCATCTAGCTACTGCCTGGGTTTGACGTAATCTTTGCTTAGTCGGCCGGCTAAGTAAAAGGCATCGTCGGCAGTAGCAACTCTTTATATTCTCACAATATCGATGTGTGTGTGTCCGTAGGGAGCGAGCAGAATCTGGGAACTCGTCATATTTGCGTGTATTACAAGAAAGTGTACAAGACTGGAAAAGTAGCAGTAGATAAACCATACTTGCAAGAGTAACGGACTGTATTCCGTGAATCCCCATCTCCAGTCATTATCAGACTTTATCTGATCTCCTGCTTAAGTTACTGAACAGTTGAGATATCTGGGATGATTTGCCAGTGTTCAAGGCAGTTTTTCCATTAGAAATTCGTTGGAATTTCGGTCCCAATCTGGGACATTGCCGTTCGACGTGTTTGCCGCCATTTTTGAGCAAATATGCTGCTTCGCCCTGAAGGAAGGACGAAGCCAGCAAGTGAGGGCGGGTACTATAGCTGTACCG